TTTAGGGGTTTAGTGGTTTAGGGTTATACTAGGTACCCCTGTAGTACCCTTTTTGGGTTTAGGGTTTTGCCCTTTTTGGTTTGGGATTCCTTTTTTGAAACCAAATAGTGGGAATTATTATGAAGGGGTTACTGGAGAACCTAGGAGATCTGCACCACCTGGTCTGGATCCTTGTAGACCTGAAGAAGAGGCAGTTCAGGCACCTGGGCGTCATGGCCTGTGTCATTGACGCCTTCGTCTTGCCCTGCCTAAGGCTAAAGATGCGGCGATGTTCCGTGGCAGCTGGCAGCTACCACACTTGCGCCATCACCGTCGGAGGCCAGCTGAGCATCTTCGGGGACACCTTCCGGGAGTACACCGACTACGGGCAGCGCAGCGTGCCCTGCGGCCTCGGCCGTGTCTTGTCCGTTTCAGCCGGAAACTGCCACACCTGCGCTGTCAAAGCTAACGGCGAGCTGGTGTGCTTTGGCCACGACTACGCCGGACAGTGCCGAAGTCCTTCGGATCTTGGCCCTGTGCTGGCGGTGTCTGCAGGCAGGGATCACACCTGTGCCATCCGCGTGGGTGGGGAGCTCGTCTGCTTTGGAGGCAACCGATATGGCCAGTGTGACATCCCACCGAATCTGGGACCTGTGGTCGCCGTGGCTGCCGGGATGCATCACACCTGTGCCATTAAGGCCGATGGGCAGTTGGTGTGTTTCGGAGACAATGAGTGCGGTCAGTGTGGGGTTCCAGCCGGGCTGCGTGGTGCCGTGGCCGTCGCAGCCGGAGCCTTTCATACCTGCGTGATTACGGCGGATGGATCGCTCTGGTGCTTTGGTCTCCGTGACGACGGTCAGTGTGAGGTCCCCAACAGCCTTGGCCCTGCCAAGGCCGTGGCAGCAGGCGCGCTGCACACCTGCGTGTTGCTTCGCAGCGGCCGACTCACGTGTTTTGGCAGCAACCTCTACGGCCAATGTGCGGTGCCCCGAAACCTGGGCCCCGTCGTAGCGGTGGCTGCCGGCGAATCCATGACCTGTGCCGTGACGGAGGACTCTCGACTGGTCTGTTTCGGCCGCCACAAGCACGGCCAGTGCAATGTCCCCTCCGACCTTGGCCCAGTGCACGTTCGAGAAACGGGGCGCACTTCATGGGGGAGGGCATTTCAGAGAACCACTGTGCTTAATATAGGGGCCTGAATAATTACCTATATTATATTAGGGGGTTCCTTATTGTAAATATGGCTGTACTAAGTAGTATTTCGTGTGTTGCGACTTGCCCAAACAGCACGTGAGCACTGGCACAGCCAACTGGCCTTGCATCCCCAAGAGCTTTGAACAAAAACAGGGGCATGTTGACACTTCCTTGCAGCAATCCTTGTTGGAATCTTTATCGTACTACTTATGCCGTAATCCTTATAAGCCCTGATAGTAGCAACCCTTATATAGCAAGCCCTAAACCCCAAATCCCCTCAACCCTAAACCTCGAAAAACAGCCTAAGCCCTAAACCCACCAAAAAACCCTAACCCCTAAACCCCTAAACCCAAACCTGCAACCCAAAACCCTAACCCCAAACCCCAACCCTAAACCCTAACCCCGGACCCCTAAACCCTAATCCCCAACCCCTAAACCCCTAACCCCTAAGAAGCCCTATAGCCCCAGATGGGATCTTCCGGAGATTAGGGTACCTTATTTTGGGGTCCTCAGAATAAGCATCCTATTATTTAGGGTACTAGCTTAGGGTGCCCTATTTCCGGAAACCCCCAGATAGCCTCAGTTACGGCATCGCATCGAAGCCCAGGCTGCGAGCGTCTTGCGGGCTCCCGGCACCAGTCGGCCGCCTCGGGGAATCCTTCAGGGTTTAGGGCTTATAGGGTTTAGGGTTAGGGTTTATAGGGTTCAGGGTTTAGGGTTTGGGGTTTGGAGTTTGGGGTTTAGGGTTTGTAGGGTTTAGGGTTTGGGTTTATGGAGTTTAGGGTTTGGGCTTTAGGGTTTAGGGTTTGGGGCTTAGGGTTTGGGGTTTGGGGTTTGGGGTGTAGGGCTTTGGGTTTGGGGTTCAGGGTGGCCTTTGTTGGGGTTTCACGTATTGTGGGGTTCAGGCATTCAGAGACCAGGGTTTCCTTCGCGGCTTGGCTGGGGCATTGAAGTCGAGGGTTTAGGGTGCTCTTGGCGGCTTTGGGTTCGGGGTTTAGGCTTTTAGGCCTTTAGGGTTTAGGGACGATGCTTCCGCAGCGTCATCCAGGAATCCTAAGCCCAAGCTGACTTGTGCTTCCAACCGTGAACTTGTACCCCAAAACGTGCACGTGAAACTGCAACCTAATGTAGGGGCCTTAAGGGTTGTGGGGGCCCCTTAATATACCCGCCAAACCCTCAAACCCTATTCCAATGAGTAAGGCCCCTATATTAAGGCTTGTGACTTCCCAGACCCCCAAAAGGATCTGAAAAATAGATCCCCTAATTAGGGACCCTAACTACTAAAGGGTACTTTATAGGAACTCCCTTAAGGGTATCTATTTTTTAGACCCTTTTGGGGGTTCGGGTTCCAAAGGACCCTCAGAGATCAGAGCCTCGGTTCTCTTCCGGTTTAAGGTTTGGCCTTGGGTGAAGCACCGCCGGGTTCGGTCTCCGGCCGAGGCCATGTGGGTTCAAGGGTTGGAGTCGGGGGTCGGTAGAAGGAGTAGATATCAGTAGCAGTAGCTTTCACACTTACTTCTTTTAGGGTCGTATCATATGGCCCCAAAAGTCCATTCGCATGTTTAGCCCTCTTGCATAATTCGGGTTTGCTGTGTAAGCGTTCCCGACATTTCTGAGACTGTGGCCTTGGCTACGCAGCTGGCGGGCAGTGGCTGCGCAGAGGCGCTCGAGACCGATCTCCAGGTGATTCTCGGGGCTTGGGGTTCAGGGTTAGGGGTTGAATTCGTCTTAGTTTAGTACTTCCTAATGATGCTTATTGCATTAGTTTTATATCTGTGATCATGACAAATCATGGGAGCATGACACTAGAAGGAACAAATTTCATTATAGGGGCCTTAATAATTAGAATAGGGTTTGGGGATATACCATACTACAATTATAGTAAGGAACCCCTCAAAACCCTATTCTAATTATTAAGGCCCCTACTTTGGGGGCACGTGGAAGGCTCAGGGTCCAGGTTCAGGCTTTGGGGCTGAAGATTCAGGTTCTGGGTTTAGGGTTCAAGGTTTATAGGTTTTAGGGTTTAAGGTTTGGGGTTTTCGGGTTTATAGGGTTTTAGGGTTTCGGGTTTAGGGTTGTTTGCAGAGTTTCAGGGTTTAGGGTTTACAGAGTTTCAGGGTTTAGGGAACCCTAAGCTCTAAATCCTCCCAAAAAATCCTCGCTTCAGCGCCTCTCGAAACACCCGGCACCCGGCTTTTGTTTTCAAGCAAAAGCAGCCCAACAGTCGTAACCGTAACCTGAACATCTTCAAAACCGTGGATCCTACACACTGAGCCCCTCTGACCGAAGAGCCCTAACCTAAACCCCTAAACCTCTGAGACCCCGGGCCCGGGCATCCCAAAGTCGCAAGAATCGCCCTGAAAGCCTTGATCTAGGACGAATCTAGGAGGGGTCCAGGTAGGGGTTTCATTGCTTGTTGAGACCTTATCTTGGGCGCCATATGACGTGACTGAGCAGGTCCTTCGCGCCGTCGCAGCAGCCTCCAGCGGATGCAGGCGGCGGGGATATACGTATGCATGTATGTGTGGTAAGTATGCATGCATGTAGAAGATGAGCGTACGGGTGCTTCTTGGTTCCCGTTTCTGTCCAGTTTGCATATCGGGCGCGGCTCAAAGAGACCTCGCCTTTTGCTTCGACTCTTGGCTGGCCACCCACCCTATGCTGTGCGAGGAAGGGGTGTGCATCGGTTTCTTTGGTGGCTTCAGCCCGCGTGGCTTTGGGAGTACTTAAAGGATCATGGGACTTAGTAAGTAGGGCTATAACTAAGGTAACTATACTTATTTCCCCAATTACGGGACTTATAACCGTACTTACTAAGTCCCATGATCCTCCAAGTATGGTCTAGGGCCCAAAGCCCGAAGCCTTCCAGGTGTCCCGGCCTCGGCGTCGGTGGCGGGATCGATCCTCTGCAGGCGTTGCGGTCTCGCAAAGTTTCATAGGGCTTTGCGGCTTTGGGCTAAGGCTTCAAGGTTCCATTTTCGGGCTTCGGGTTTCGGGGTTTGAGGTATTGAGGATTGAGGGTTCAGCGTTGACGACTTGAGCTTGAGACGATCCTACTTCGGAAGGAGAGAGTTCCGAGGGCCTGGGGGCCTTGCAGGCTTGAGCGGAATCCAATAGAGCCTTGTAGGTTTGACTAATGTCACTACAACAGCAGCGACAATGTGGCAACGGCGGTGGCAGCAGCAGAAGGAGGAGCAGCAGCAGCAGAAGGAGGAGCAGCAGCAGCAGCAGCAGCAGCAGCAGCAGCAGCAGCAGCAGCAGCAGCAGCAGCAACAACAACAGGTTGGTCGATCCCTGGCACATCCTCAAGAGCAGCGTGGAAGGCCCTTGTGCTTCCAGGGTTTCAGGTTTGAGGTGCTGGGCTTAGGGGAGCACAACACAGATTGAGAAACCACGAGAGGAGAGAGAGAGAGAGAGAGAGAGAGAGAGGGACGGAGAGCGAGCAAACAAGACTGATAGCTTCTGTATAACCTAGAGCTCCAATCCCGCATGAGCCCTTGCGGTATGCCTGGCTAACCTAGTGGAGCCCTTCTAACGACCCCATGAACATCACCAGCGTCCCTCGAAGCTACACAAGCCTTGAAGCCCCGAATCCCGAACCACTTAGCCCTAAACTCTCAACCCGCGGCCCTCCCCGAACGCGCCGAAACGCTGCAACCCTAAACAGTGGCGCGCCAGGTCGTGGGTGGAGCGTTCTCAGTGCGTTGGCCTCAGAACGGTTGCGGCTCGTAGGATTTAGGGTTTAGGGTTTAGGGTTTAGGCAACCGAAAAAGACCTGATACCGAAAACATAAGTACCCATGAACCTCCGAGTAGCCCTAAACTCAAAATCAGCTGGATCTCGTGAGCTGGCAGTGGGCTGAACGTAGAGCTACGCCCCGTGCCCCCGGTGCGATGTCTGGGTACCAGCACCTCTACGACAGGACTTAGGTACAGTTCAGGGTCAAGGTCTTCAGCAAATCCAACTGTCTCGGGTCAATCCTCATTTCAGTTCTTGCTGCGTTCCTTCACATGGGTGGTTGTCAAAATTATGGTCCCTTTTGGGTCCTTATTATAATATGGCACCTATTATTTAGGGTACCCCAAAAGGGATCATAGTTTTGACAACTACCCACATGGAGCCCTTGGTTGAAGAATTGTAGAGGACTTCTGCAGTCTCTGGGCACAGTTCTTCCTGGCTTGAGCCGTAAAGGTACGTACTTCAGTTCTCCGCTCATGGTATTGAGCACCTCTCGCGCCCTTCTCCGTCCCCCGTGCCTCTCTATCCCCAGATTGCGAGCAGGATGTACGGTTTCGGGTCAAGTTTGAGGCGTAGGAGGGTTATGTTCTGCGGAAATCCCAAGCACAAACCCGGTACTCTGAAACTCTGAGGCTCTATTGCACCAAAACTGCCAAAGTCCCAGCCTGCGTTGGCCAAACTTATAGTCCCCAAAGCCCGAAGCCCTTGAGACACTAAGCCCAGAACCCGATAGACGATCTAACCCTTAGACCCAAAACACCAGAGAGCCGCCATGTCCTCTAATATAGGGACCCTAATAATAAGAATAGGGTTCGGGGTAGAGTATACTATAATTACAATGAGGAACCCCCAGAACCCTAAACCCTAAGCCCTAAACCCTAAACCCTGTTCTACTTACTAAGGCCCCCACATTATCTCGAAGCCTGAGGCTTATCCCTGTCCGTCGCGTGGCTCTCATGGCTCAGCCGTATGGCAGACCTCCGGCGCGACAAGGACGTGAGCCCTTTTTGTCTGTCTGGTGCTTAGTAGGGAACGGCGGAATGGGTTATAGGGACTACTATAAGGGACCTTAACGAACTATCATAGGGATCCATTCCCCCATTCCCTACTAAGCACCAGACAGTTGTTTGTTGTGGCGGTTCAGGGTTTTTAAGCCCTAAACCCTAAAGCCGGGTCACTCTACGCAAGGATTCCCTGAAGTTGAAGCGGGCCCCTATAGGGATTCCACAAAAAGGGCTTTCAGGATTTATAACTCCGGAGGCCCGGGCATTAGCGTTTAATATTTTTAGGGTCTAGCCTGTTAGATTTGGGATTTAGGGTTTGGGGTTTAATTTGCTGTCTGAAGTCGCTTTGATTACGCCCAAAATCTTAAACCCCAAACCCTAAACCCTAAACCCTAAACTCTAAACCCTATAGCTCCTGGTTCTGCCCTGTGCGGAGGAGCTCCAAACGGCGGAGGAAGCGGTGGAGAAATTGTTCGCCAGCTGCCAGGCCTTCTGCGGGTGGGGTTTGGGTTCGTGCTCGCTGGGGTTTTTGAGGGTTTAGGGTTTAGGGTTTAGGGTTTAGGGTTTAGGGTATGAGGGGTTTAGAGTCTCGGGTTTAGGGGTATGAGGATTCTATAGGGTTTAGAGAGTTTTTGTAAGGGATCTACAAAGGGTACTCTAAGGGCCCCACAGCAGACGGTTCAGGGTTTCAGGGTTGTGTGTTTAGGGCTTTGGGCTTTTGGAGTCGAGGTTTTAGGGTTTGGGGTTTAGGGTTTAGGGTTGTGGACCTTTGGGGTTGAGTTTGTTGGGTTGCGGGTCCTTCTGCTGTGGAGAAGGAAGGGGTTCACTGGTCCCAAACCCCAAGCCCAAGAGCAGTGCACAAAGCGCACGATTGAAGATCCCCTGTCACTTTGCTAGAACCCCTGGCTATCGTTTTCTTGGGATCCGAGATATAGTCCAAGGGATATGTGCAAAGTATGAGCCGACCCACGTATCTCAACCGTGAACCCTGAAATTCTGGAAACACACCCGAACAACGTACAGCACCCTTGTTGAACCCTGACCGATCAGAAATCCCTAAAGGCAAATCCTTGTAGAACCTTCATGGAGCCCTTCCGAACCTTGATAAATTGATAAGACCTGAAACCAAACCTCCCCTGAACCCTAAACCCGAAACCCTAAACCCTAACCCTAAACCCTAAACCCTAAACCCTAAACCCTAAACCCTAAATCCTAAACCCTAAACCCTAAACCCTGAGCCCTCTCTGAGAGAAGCCATGGTGAGGAGCGCATCGCCATCGAGGTGTCGCGGCGGAGAGCCGTCAAGGTCGGACCGGAGGGGGGGGAAGAGCAAATACCGCTGGGACAGCAAGCGCAGTACGGGCTTTATAGGTTGTTTGAAAGATTTTCTACGCGTTCCACAAGGGTTGTAGAACAGCTGTATAAGAGTTTTAGAAGGGTGGTGCAAGGGTTTTTGCAGGGTAAAACAAAACGGAGGTTAATCAGTAGAATACGGTTCATATTATAAATAGTAGAAGGACCAGTATTACACATTCTTCGGAGACCCCTCTTGTCCCTAACATCCAGCCCTAAATTTCAGACCAAACCTGAAACTCTAAACCATAAGCCCCAAACCCCAACCCTACTGCTTGCAGCCTCTAAAAGCCTCCGAAAAAAACGACGAAAAAGCACCCTGACCTCAAAGGTTGCTCAAGACTCTTGTGAAATTGAACCTAAACCCTAAACCCTAAATCTTTATCCAAAACCTAAACCCTAAACCCTAAACCCTAAACCCTAAACCCTACACCCTAAACCCTAAACCCTAAACCCTAAACCCTAAACCCTTATCCAAAACTGCCGGAGAGGACGCAGCGATTCGCTCCATGGCCTCCGCCTCCAACGAGAATGCGATTCGGCTCGAAGTCAGAAAGTCCCATGGGACGTTCAGGGTATAATGGTTTAGGGTTTAGGGTTTAGGGTTTAGGGGGTTCAGGGTATAGTATAGGGGCCTTAATGATTAGAATAGGGATTTGGGTTATAGTATGCTATAACTATAATAAAGAACCCCCAAAATTAGTGTTGGTAATTGTTTTGTTCGGAGTTTCAGTGTTCAGTGTTTAGGGTTGAGGTCGTTGGTGCAGAGGGTAGGGGTTCCCAGGGTTTTGGGTTTGGTGGGTTTGGGGTTCTTGGTTGGGTCGAGGGTCTAGCATGAGTGTTTTAGGGCTGAGTAGGTTTGGTTGGTTGTCAGTTTAGAGTTTCACCCTAAACCCTAAACCCTAAACCCTAAACCCTAAACCCTAAACCCTAAACCCTAAAGCTCTAAACCCTAAATCGTGTAACTCTCGGGTTTAGTTGAAGGTTAGGGTTCACGATGTTGGAAAGCACTCGTCGTGGCTCACGACAGCCAGGCGCCTGTGGTGCGCGCGCTGCGCGCCTGGCATGAACGGGTACCACGGATGAAGGCCGGTACCTTCCAGAGAGTCTTCTTTTCCCCTTGCGGAGAACTCCGGATTTCGGATTCACTGTTCAGTGCTTGCGGCGAGGTTTGGCAGCAAGTTACGAGGAGTTGAGGGTTCAAGTATGAACTTGATGCTGGTGACTGTAGTGATGTTGGGACACACAGGAACCCATCATACCGTTTATAGAGTATGAACTGTTACCTATAAACTGTTCGTAGAACCTCAAACACCCGGCTCTCCTGCGTTCAGCTGGAGAGATGCGAAGAGCAGAGAAGACAGCTAAGACGCTCGGATGCAAGTCCTGGTATGCTTGGTTAAGAGCTCAGGGCTTAGAGGATTTAGCGGTTTAGGGCTTCAGGCGTGAATTCGGTGTTGTGTATCTTGAGTTTATATCCGCATAGGCGATCATCCTGAAGCCTCTACGCCCCGAGCTCGAAAGCGCAGAAGCTGAGGCCAAAGAGCTCAGAAGCTGGCGAATGCGGAGCTCCGCCTCTTGCAGCGTCCCGAACCCCAGGGGAGTCTCCGGAAAGAGCTTGCTGCTTTTCCTTGGGAGTTGGCTGCCTTCTGGATCACGAGCGGAATTCAGAAATTCAAGCTGCCGTAAGGCGTAGGTGCCATCAGTGCTTCAAGAATCATGGGACTTAGTAAGTAAGGTCATAAGTCCCCTAATTGGGGTTATAAGTATAGTTACCTTAGATAAAGCCCTACTTACTAAGTCCCATGATCCTTTAAGTAGTGTGCTTTTTCCTCATTATAGTACCACAGAGGCCGCACTCTTGCGCTGTCGCGGACCCGGTTGCGACTCTGCTTCGTAGCCTGGCGCCTGGCAGCACGGGGACCCAGGAGATTGGAAAGGTTTAGGGTTTAGGGTCTACATCGAAGGTCTATTGTGTTTGTTTTCGAGGCTGAGTTCCGGTGAGCCTGGGTTGACAGGCTTGCTTTGACTTGGAGTGGTATTGGAATTATGGATTCCGTGGGTTGCTAGTTTTTGGTTGAATTTTGGGATGCAAAGCCGGCAGGGGGCGTGCTCTGGGGCTTCGTATTCACATTGTGGACGGGAAGTTGCGATTCTTATCACAGGAATGAAGCTCTTGGGCTCCCGGGTGGCATAAATACGACTTGAGTCCAAACTTCAGTGTGGGGGTTTAACTACATGGCTTTGGTGAGCATCAACAAGTGGTGCTGCAAGAATCCACCAAACCGTTGCTGAGTTAGATTGGGTCCGGCTTCGCCGAAGCCACGGAAACCCTAAACCCTAAACCC